CATTATATAGAATGTTTTATATACGGTCTCTTGTTTTAGCGCAAGAGAGCGCAGTATTATATATTCTGATTCTTAATTATTTTTATTTAAACAATGGGAACTATTTTCTAACTTCTCTGGTTATTTTTACGCTATGACAATTTTTTGTTTTCCCGTTGAAAAAAAGTATTTATTAACAATTACTTTCATAAACTAACAGTATTAATTAGAGATATTTAATGAATTGTTAACTTTTTTTATTATAAAATTTTTTTGATCACGCTGATTTAATTTAAATTGCTAAATTTGCTGAATTGGATACAGATAAAAAGGAAATACCATTTTATTTTACATTTGATTTTTGATAATGAAATTTTTAAAATGTCAGGAACTCCATACCAATTAGAACCTGTTAAGATTATGAAAAAAAATACAAGAATACACTAAACAATAGTTTAGTGTATTTTTGTACTATTTTTTTAACACTTGACAGTAGTATCAGATATGAAAATTCGTGAAAGGATATGTGAGATCCTGATTTTGCATTAAAAGTACAATTAATTGCAACACAAGTCGGCATTATAAATCTTGATTATAAGTTTACTGTTCAATATTTTATAACCATCAAATAAAAAACATGAAGTTTGTATATTTTTGCCCGTTTTATACAACTAATATTTAACCAAAATATGGACAAATTATTATTAAACAACGCAATAATTAACACATTAATTAAAGGCAATAATTCAAGATAGATGGTAATTTAAATTGTTAAAATGTCATAACGCGCATTAAAAAACATATTATGTCTGGTATTTCCAAATTTGTGTCGTAATTGGCATTTGTCTCTTAACATGAAAAATTAAAAAATTTTAAAAACACAATTAACAAATACAAATTTTCAAGTAATTTTCTCTTCCAATTCTCATTTATTCAAAGAAAATTAAGCTATTAAACTTTTATTTCTCCCATCTAAAAAAAGAACGAGTGACGCAAAAAAAAAATATATTCTTTACAACTCTTATTCATTCAAAGTTTAATTGTGCGAAACTTTTCTTTCTCTTTTGTTCTACTCACTGATCTCTATAATAAGTTATTATAGAGATCAGTGGTTCTACTCTTTTATAAAAAGAGCGCCCGACGAAATAAAAACTTTTATTTTTTAATATATAATTAGAGTTTGAGATAAAATTAAATTAGAAATAAATCAACAATGAGCAAAGCAACGAACAGATTAATCTGAAGCTATTTTGATATTTATGAAAATAATCAACATAAACAACATTACCAACAACAGTTATCAAATAAACAACACAATCACGCATAATTTTAGAGGCGTTTTATTTTTATTGCTTAGTCGATCTAAATAATAAGTAAATTTAGTTCAAGTTAATAATTCAATATTTACAGTTGCAATATAATAAAGAAATGGTGTTTAATACTAAACTTTTTATTTAGTTATTTATTTTTTTACCTACATTTGTTATAAAAAACTTTAGAACCCCCGTCATTAAAATAATTTGTTTTAAATATATTTCGACGTGATTATTCAAGCTAATTTTTTTCGTTTGACTTTCTGAACTTCATGCAAAGCAAATTGAAACGAAATATCGTCTAACCAAATAAAAAAGCTGTTACTAATCTTATACGGGTAATTAATGTAAAACAATTTTTGAGATAAATATTTTTTACTTGGATAAATATTTTTAATTTTATACGAGTAATGAATGTAAAACAATTTTTGAGATAAAAATTTTGAGATAAATATTCATAATTTATAAACATTAAATATATGGCGCAATAACAATTTATAGCAACGAACCAGCATAAAATATTTAAGGTTTTTAATATCTTTTTAAATATTAATAGTAGAAAGAAAAAAAAAACTAAACAAATAATCAAAAAAACTTCGACTAAAAATAAATAAAAATATTTCCAGAGTTTCTTTTGTTAAAAGTCTACCGTGACGTCAAATACTAAAACTTTTATGAATTAAATGCGCTTCAAAAGAACTGCCAAAGTCTGTAGATTGCGACGCATAATTTCAAGACTCCGAGTAGTTGAAAAAAATGGAGAAGACGAGCTTCGGCAAAAACAACAACATTTGTTTTTCACGGTATGCATTCCCTATTTATTTTTAATCAAAAAAATTTGGTTCAAACCTTTTTTTTTAACATTATCTTTAATATGAACACAACATGTGTTGGGAGTTTGGGATCCCTTTAAAGCAAAAAAACTTTAAGCAAAATAAATAGGCAATATTTTTAAAACATCTCTCTTTTATAATTTTTTTTATAAAATTAAGCGACATTTTTTATATAAATTAACAACTTACTATTAATGATTGTTCAATAAGGAAACAAATGTTCTTCAATTTATAAAAGAGTATATATAATTTTTATTTATATACTTATGTCTTATTACCAGTGCTGGATTGAGGAGTTAGGGTGGGGGTAGAAGGGCTATAGCACCGGCACTCACAATGTTAGGGGCCGCAAAGTAGTCAAGAGGACCATTTGGTATTTTTTTTAGTCATTTTTATGATGTGGCACATAAAAGGCCACCAAAATAATGCGGCCCCTGGCCCTGAAAAGTCTATCAAGTAAAACTAACGCTAAATGATTTGTTTATAAATAAATTTCTTGGGGGAAAGAATCAGTTATCAAGTACACTGAGGAAAATGGATTAGTGATTAAAATTATTTGTATTAACTTTGATGATTATTAATAATTTCATTGAAAAATGCAGTTATTTTTGAAAGTATTTTTGTTTACAAAATCACTCGCACAAATTGCTTTAAAAGATTACATTTGAATAAAATACACATACATAAAATTACATACATAAAAAATACATTACATACATAAAAATACATTACATTCATAAAAAATACATCCCTTATATATAAAAAATAAGAATATACTAATAAAATCGATAATATATTTACAAAACGTTGACATGTTAAAAAATATAAATTTAAAATATTTATTTTTGTAAACAAATAATGTTAGTTTAAAACATTTATAGCTTTGTAGATGTGGCTCCAAGAATTAAAACAATAGTTCGTTTGATAGTATATTCTTAAAACAATTTATGCAAGAAATCTTAACGAAAACATAACAAAACTCAAATAACACAATTTTTTAAAATATTTCAACAGAGTACTCTAAAACATTTGGTTAGTATTTTTTGCACCAATAGAATTAGTTGTTCATTGATTTGGCAAGTTTTTTGTGTTCGCGAATATTCTTTTTTTAATTTTTCGCACAAAGACGTTTAAGAACAATCGAGTTTATGTATGTTTCCATGTATGTCCGTAAAACAAAATATTTTAAAATTTACAATAAAATAATGAACTTAATTATTATTTTGCGGACAAACAAGGAAATGTACATAAACTTAAATGTTCTCAAAATGACTAAAAAATCTGGCCGGTTTATTGCAACTAAATATTATTTCCATGGTCAGTTATCGGTGCGATCACACCCGCTTCCCAACCAAGTCTGCATAAGCTATCAACTTACGGTTTATCTGGAAACATCTTTAAGATTATTGAATCCTTCCTTTCCAATGGTATTATAAAAGTTGTCCTTGATGGACAGCACTCTTCTTCTTATTCTGTAACCTCAGGGGTTTCTCAAAGTTCAATCCTTGACCCTATACTCTTTTTAATTTACATTATCAATCTTCCAGATATACTCACATCTAAGGTGGCATTGTTTGCTGGTGATACTACCATTTATTCTTGTCTTGATAAGAAGCCAACTCTCTCTGATTGCTTAGAGGGGGCATTTGATCTTGAAAAGTATCTCACTTCTGCTAGAGCATGGGGCTCACAGTGGCTGGTGAACTTTAATTCAGATAAAACTTAATTTTTTTCAGCCAATCATTATCGCAATAATTTAGACCTTTCTATATTTATGAACGGTAATGTACTCAATGATTTATCTACCTTTCATCTTCTAGGAATAACTCTTACTTCTGATCTTTCATGCAAACCATATATCAAATTGTAAACATAGTTGGACCTGCTCTTGCAGCCAACCTTCAACCTCTGTCACATCGTCGTAATGTTACTTCTCTTTCTCTTTTCTACAAATACTATAATGGGCACTGCTCTTAAGAGCTAGCGTCTCTTGTGCCATTTACTAAAATTCATTCTCGTGTTACTCGTTATTTAATTAAGTCTCATCCTTTTTCTGTGACTGTTTCTAAGTGCTCCAAAAACACATATTCGTCTAGTTTTTTCCCTTAAACATCAGTTCTTTGGAATTCGCTTTTTCCATCTTGCTTTCCTGATTCATATAATTTGCAATATTTTAAGTTGTCTGTCAATCGTTATCTTGCTCTACAATCTTCATCTTTTCTCTTCCAGAAACTTCCAACACTAATTAGTGGTTGCTTACTGCCTTGTTGGAAGCAAAGATGTTTAAAAAAAAAAAATCTAAATATTTTATTAAAATTTTTTTTCTAATGTGGTCATAATGGTCTATATCCTAGTTTTTTCATGATTTTTGTTTAAATTAAAAAAAGATTTTGCAAAAAAATATTTTGCATAAACATGCAAAAAAAGAATTTTTACGCAAATAAACAAAAAAAATAATTATTTTGCATAAATTATATAAAATATTTAGATTTACCTTGCGCTCAAAACCAAATAATTTGGGAACAATTTGGGGGATTTTTGGGGGGATTTTGTCACTTAGGCGCAAGTTAAATGTCAATTTTCAAAGGTTTTTTGATTAACTTGTAATTTTTAGCTAATTGAATTTGTATATTTGAAAAGAACCTTTTCTTTAGAACTTTAATTTTTAGTATTGATTTTATGAGAAATACAAAAAAATGATTGAAATTATTTGATCTACAGCACTTGTTTAATGTTCATTAAAATTATCGACTATTACACACTTAAAAAGAATTTAAATTATTTTCTTTATTTTATATATTTGTACAGCCATAAAAGAAAAAATAGTCCTAAAATACTAAAATTGGATTGGATTTTGTTTAAAATATTATTTTAGGTTACAATGGATTTTAAAAAATCATCAAATGAATTAGTTCCAGTTATTTTATATCCACGAAGTTTATTGGTTATGAAAGGGGAATCAAGGTATCAATGGAATCATGGGTAAGAATTAGTACTTTTATTAGATTATTTAAAATAGAAAATAAAATTTAATCTGTGTGCTTTTTAGTTATACACTCTTGGTACTTTGCCATCTACTGCAGGCCTTGTTTTAAATAAAAAAGTGCTTAATGCATTAGCTTAATGCGATATTTGGCGTCATAAAATTATCTTTATTTTTTTTTATAGATGTTAAGTGTTTTAACTACCGCAATAAATAAATAACCGCTAACTAGTTTATTTTACAATTAACTCAAATAACTATAAACGTTTTAAATTTAAATTTATAATAAAAAGTTTGTAATGTTTTCAATTGTTATCTTATTATTAATTTTAGTTCAATATTATTTAGCAAAAAAAATATATATATATATTTTAATTATTTCTGAAATTTGTTTTTGAATAATTAATATTTATAAATCGTTATTGAATAAAAAATAATGATTTTTTTTATTTTTAAAAATTACTGGAGTAAACAAAAAATATTTACGTTGATAAACAAAAACTTATGTTAATTATTTAAACAGCGATTTTGTTTTGACTAGCAAATAATAATTTAGAAAAGAATATTTTTTTAAATTTTTCTTGCTTAGCGTTTCAACTTGCATTATATAAAAATATAAAAACGTTTTGTCTGCTTTTAGCATATTTTTGATACATAGTTTACAACGCGTTCGCCAGGAATTTAATTCATAAATTTTTTATGTTATTGTAAAAATGTTTTACATTTTAAACAAATCACAAAGAAACAGAGCTATAGAGAAATATCGTTTTTAACGATTAAATCTTTTTTTTTTAGATTTTAGGTAATTAAAAAAAAATTAAATTAAATATAAAAGTCTTAGTTATGCAAACTCTTTTGTTAATTATTCTTAAAACAAAAAATAAATACTTCTCCGCAAAACTTTAATCGTGCAAACTTAAAAAAATACTCAACTAAAATAATATAAGTATATTTGATAATTTGAATCGTATCTGTTTATAATAAACGCTTGTAAAAATTTGTTTATTAAAAATTAAGTTCCTTAACTTATAAACAAACTCAAAAGTATTTTCATTCTACCTATAATTACAAAAAAAAAAAGCTCTTTTTTTTCTTCGTTTGTAAGCAATTTAACTTAATAAAATAAAAAAAGAATAAATATGAGGTAATCTTTGTTAAGAACAAATTTAATTTATTTATTAAACTATATTTTTATTTTTATTTATATATCAACTTAAATTAAATATAGTAACATGTTAAAATATTTTAACATGACTTGTGTTATTTATAAACCGTAGGGCAGCTGCCCTTACGGCGCAATTGTTTTAGGATTATATTTTATTTTGATGAAGATCACATAACTTACATTTGATTTTAATAACATAAGTCTTCTCTTTTTCTGTGATCATCGCATCGGCAAAGCATCGGCAAAGTCCCAAGATTTAAAAGTTTTTAAAGGAAATCTTTTGTCCTTTAAAATACAATCCATATTTGAACTTTAAACAATTAGAGAGAATAGAAATATAAAAGGTTTTTATATACTAGTTTGTCTTGTTTTATAAAGAAAAATACATATTCATTAATAAAAAATAGAGACTGTCATTAAACTAAAATGTGCCTTAGTATTTATTTAACGGAATCTGTAATGTGCGCGTGCATAATGAAACCTCCATTATATAAATATATTCAACGTAATATTAGTGTCATCAGCGGATGTTATAGTCTACTTGTGATTTCTTTACCTTATAATATAACTTGATCTATGAAAAAAATTTATTGAATCGCACGCTGAAGAAATTTAACAAATTGTCTTCATTCAAAATTTGAGAGTAACAGGTAACTTTTTTTTTCTGTGCTGGCCACCTCCCCCCGCATAACTTAAAAGCAAAGGTATCTATATACCTTTAACTAATAAGAAAAGCAAAGAGTAATAATTGATGAAGTAATTTTTAGAAAAATACAAATAGATTGTTCGTTCATTGGCACATTTTTTTTAATATCTTGAAAAAATGTCTTGATATTTTTGTTATCATGATAACAAAAATATTAAGACGTTTTTTGATATATTAAAAAAATGTCAACCCTTAATTACAAATTTTTTGCAAATGTTTTTTAATATGAGTTTAGTAAAAAACTCTTTATATTACTAAAAAACATTTATATTCTGTATTAATAAGTTTGGAATATAGATTTTTTAAAAGTTTTTTACTGAAAACTTTAAAAAGTTACTACTTTTTATTAAAAACATTTGCAAAAAATTTGTAGTTAAGGATTGGCGAACAATTTTTCATGTTACTAAATATTTGAATAAAAAGTTAAGCGTAAAATTAAATGTTATAAAAATGTATGATATGTCGCAGTAAAAAGTTACTACAATTATTTTTAACTTAATTTTTTTTTTCTAATAAATATTTTTACATATCGTTATTCAAAAGTTAATGTGGTTTTTTTGAAAATTAATTACTTCTTTTATGTTACCGCTAATTTAAAAGTTAAAAAATGATAAAAAGTAGCTTAACCAAAACAGCTCTACGCGTACGTAAAAATTGCCTAAGGCGTACGTAAATCGCTCTAGGCGTAACGCTTTAAAACAAGGCCTGTACTGCAGACTTTTTCTAAGCTTTTCAAATTTTTTTTATATATACAACCCACGTAGCTAAGAAAAATTAGGTTAGCAAAAAGTTACCTAAAACTCTTTTAGGTCGGCACAAAATGTAGAAACAGGGTTTGATAAATTGACAATTTTGCAAACATTTAGCTTAAAATTAATAAAAATTATTATAAAGTCAAACTGCAGTTTTTAAATTTTAAATCTTCTTAAATTTTTTGTTATCGATCAAAAACGCATTAACAAGAAACGTGGACGTAGTTAATTGAATTTAAAAGTGTATTTGTTTAGGCAGCTATAGGCAGCCAATTTTTATACCACAAGATCAATGTCATATTGGTATTCAGTTATATATCATTTTAAGCGGTTGATACAGGTTGATCCGATGGTTTTAAATGATATTTTTTAAAAAAATAAAAACTTGTAACTCAAAATTATTGATGTTTGCATTGTTGAAAATATTTATACAAAATGCAAAAAAAAATTTTTTTTTAATGTGATTTAAATATTAACATAATACTATATAATTCATTTATAAGTTAAAAAATAAACTTAAACTTCTTTAAAATAAGAAATCAAAGTTTTCAAAAAATTTTTTGTTGTTATTGATAAAAAGTATTTAAGGAAATATTTAAACAACAAATATGGCGTTTTATTGAAAAATTATTTTTTAATAAAATATAATTTCTGGCTTATTAATATATTGAGCAAAATTTGCCTTTTTCAAAATTTCAAAATTTAAAAACTTTTTTGTATGGTTTTGCCGGCTTCTGACCCACTGTGCAGTGTAGAAAATATTTAAAGAAGTTTAAATAAAAAGATTTTTTGAAGTTTTACAAATATAAGATTTTAGTTGGATTTTAAATTTAAATTTTTTTTCTTAGAATAACACCGCGAAAGTTTGACATTGTGTATACAACAAGTCAGTTGAACTCTACAGCTGAGCAAGATTTTTTTACAGAAGAGCATCTGACTCTCCGTGAACGCAGAATAAGAATCTCTTTAACGTTCAGAAAAATTCGATTTACACCTTGTATATGTAAATTCACAGAGAAATGTGATTCACAAATAATTAATCAAAATAATGTATTATTACCAATAACTCCGATAGAAGCAATGCATCTAGAAGATAAACATGTAGTTAAAGTTTATGAGCAAATAGCAATGCATTTTAGTGATACAAGGCATTCTCCGTGGCCTCGTGTAAAACGTTTTTTAAATAACTTAAAAAATGGTAGTATAGTTGCTGATGTAGGTTGTGGTAATGGAAAGTATCTTGGTGTTAATCCTGATCTTGTATCCATTGGTAGTGATAGAAGTATAAATTTGATATCAATTTGCAAGGAGCGTAATTTTGAGGTTTGCATTTCTGACTGTTTAACATTGCCATACAGGTGAGTTTTTTTTCGCACTAATCTAGTAATGTTTTTTTCATCATCATCATCATCATCATCATCATCATCATCATCATCATCATCATCATCATCATCATCATCATCATCATCATCATTGTCATTGTTTATATCATTGTCATTTATCATGTTTATAGTTTATAGTATAATTTTACAATTTTATGAGTAACTACAGAATTGCAGTTATTATTTTTACAATTTTAGGAGTAATGTATTTGATGCTGTGATTTGTATAGCAGTTATTCATCATCTATCAACTCAAACTAGAAGATTGCAAGCAGTTGAAGAATTGATACGCATTGTTAACACAAATGGATTAGTACTTATTTATGTTTGGGCTATTGAGCAAGATAATGAGAAAAATTTAAATTTGTGTGAAAATTCTAGAATTGAAAGCCCAAATATTTGTATTAGCTCTAATGGTTCTACAGATAAACTTTGTTGCGATAAATTTTCTTACGACGCAATTACCATAGAAAGTAGAAAAAAGATTGAAATAAGTGAAGGAAGAAACACCTTTCAACAACAAGATTTATTAATACCATGGCATTTAAAAGAAGAAAAATGTAAAACAGAAGAAATATTTCACAGATTTTATCACGTATTTGTTAAAGGAGAATTAGAAGAGTTATGTTCTCATATCCCGTTTGTTAAAATAGAAGATGTTTATTTTGATTGTGGAAATTGGTGCATAATTATGCAGAAAAAAAATTAGTTATAAAATAGTTGGCTTATTTTTATTTTCACTTTTTATTCTTTTTATATTTAAAATTAAAAATATGAAAGTAATTGAATTATTATTCTTAAGAAGAGAAAAATCTCTATCTTATCATGATCATTGAAATATAGATGTGTGAAAGATGAAGTATATAACTATGCAAACGCAACAATTAAATGTTATTCCTATAAAAATGGAAAGTGGGAAGGGTACATGTACATATGTACCAAGATATTTTCAAAATACACAATGGTTTTAAAAATATCTTGAGTTTTTTTATTAATACTAAGTTTTTTTTATCTTTTTTACTTTCTATTTTATTTATTAAATATTTTTAGTTTTACACATATTTTTATTATTTAAGTTTAACAAAAATAGTCTAAATCAAAAATAAGAATTAAATTGTAATAAGATTATAGTTAATAAGATTGACATGCAAATAATGACTTTATGTATCAACTTTAATAATTTTTATTAGTTTACAGTATTACTTATAGAATGCAATATCATACATCTTAGTATTTGAATGAAATTTATAAACATTGTATGTTAATTGTAGCAAACTCAATAAAGTGATTTAATATTAATAGTAGTAATAATAATAGTAACAATAATAATATTAAAAGTCATCTATATATTATATATATATATATATAAATGTTGTATAAATCTTGTATAAATCTTGTATAAATGTTTTTATTTTTAGTTTAATAAATATTTTACAAAAAAAGTACTAATGTCATTAAAATCCAAGGTAGGCTTAGTATTTATGTTTCTTATTTTGTTTATATACAACAAAATGATCAAGTCTTTGTTGAATATTTTACTTTTATCATATCCGTGTTATTAAAAAAACATTTAAAAAAATTAATAGAACATTTTAAAACTTTAAATATTTATCATCTATGACGTATGACTTAAGTCTTAAATTCTCGATGTTCATGTCATCTATAAACATCAAAATTATATATATATATATATATATATTTGAATATTACTTATTCTTTTCTTTGGTGTTTTCTCTATGTGTTTCCTCCTTCTATGAGACTTCTCTTTCTATATGTTATTTTCTTTTATGAGTGTTCTGCTAGTATAACAATAGAGTTTAATATGTAGGGAATGTATCATTAATTTCTTACTAATTAGTTTAAGTACAATATGAGTTTCTTTAATTAAAATACATAGGGAATAGTTATTTTTTACTAAGAATGACTTGGTTTCATCACTTAGCTACAAGGAATTTAAATAACTCATAATGAAAGTTTTAAAAAAAACAAATTTTTTTTGCCTATAATTAGGCTGAAGTTATACAATTATGTTTTATTACTAAGAAATTTCTATGACCAAGTTTCAATATAAGAAATTATTTTATTAAAAAAAATAAACTTTCATAAAAATTTTACGTTTTTTTACTTTATATTTGTTTCAATTATTTAGAAGTATTTTTAAAAAAAAACGTACAAAAATTTTTTATTTTGAAACTTCTAAAACATGAGGCAATAGACTCGTGGTAGAACTTCATAATTAATAAGTTTGAAGTTTAAATCCACCCTCGTTTTTATCTTCAGGACTTGAAGATGTTAATAATAAAAAAACTTTTGAGAGCACTTGCAAAATTTAAATCTGATTTCTTTGAAAAAAAAAATTAGTGACTATTAAAAAATGTCTAAAAGAAAATTGAGTCACCACAACATAGGTACATGTTGAAATAGTTGATATAATATTAGTAATGTTGATAATATATTATTAATTAACATTAGAATTTATTATATTTCATTTAAAAAAATTTCTTTAGGTGTTTGGTGCTTATCGATTATTACAAAGAACATGTTTGCAAGTTTTTGCAGGAGATACGCAAGCTCTGCATCAATCACGGTTTAAAATTAAAGAATCATTTTTGGCAAACAAAAATGTGGAGCCTCATAAAGTAGAAGATTTAATTGTTAATGCTAAAGAAACAAGTGAATTTTTGTTAGAAAATGTATTGCAAGCTCGTCTTACATCAGACAATGTTTATAAATTGAAAATAACAGAAAAAACAAAGTTACAAGACAATGTATTATTAAAAGACTCAAATACTATTGACTTGATGTGTTACAAAGTTCCTGAACAATACAAAAAGAAAGAATAGTAATTGCAATAAGTTTGAGAAAAAATGATTTATTATGAAATTAATTTTTTTTAATTTTAATTTTATATTTTTTTAAATAAAGTTGAATTGCTAGCATTTACTTATATATATATATATATATATATATATATATATATATATATATATATATTATATATATATATATATATATATATATATATATATACATACACATTAGTGTGAAAAATATTAGAATTGTCTACAGGTTTTACTGGTTTCAAGTTAGAACATGTATTTTTAGGTAAAAATTCTAAATTAAAAAATAACATTCTTTTAATTTATAGTACATGTATATCCTTATGAGCAACGTCACTGTGATGTCAATTTAAGTTGCGTTGTTACTGTGACATCAAGTCAAGCAGCTTTGTCAAAATTAAAAAAACAAAGCTGAAGTCATACTTATAATGCATTATCTTAGAGATTGTCAAGAAAGTAAGTTGCAGTCAGTAAGCAGTTAATACTGTTAGTTAGAAAAAATTTAATGTAAATTTAAACTTGGTTTTAAACTGTTTCGATTTCAGTTGAAAGTTTATTTATAATAACATATGCCTCTTTATTTTTATTTGGTGCCAAAAAATTGACTAGTAAATAGCTTAGAGGTTTTTAATAATATAAGGTTATTAAATTCAAGTTAAACAGCATTATTTTGTTGCATATATTTTCTTATAACCAACCTTTTTTGCATGAGTTTCTAATATCTGAAACAATTTTCAACCTGTCATATGGCCAAGTCAGATACAGCTTTTATTTAAAAAAAAGTTCCATATCTTCTATTTGCTAGAAATTCACCATATATAAATCCGATTCCAAATACAATAAAAATCAACATGCTGATAACTTCACACCATAAACAAACTGGCAAAGTCTTGTTGATTTTGAAATCCATTAGTTTGTGTTATTAAATAATGTAATTTGTTCAAGATTTAGTGAGTGTAATTAGTTGAACCAATATTTGTATCAATAAAATGTTTGAAGCAAACAATATAAACTATTTTAAAATAATTTCACATAAAACTATTTTTTTATGTTTTATTAAGTCGTTGATTCTAGTATTTTTCACATCACTGTGTTTATTTCTATGCTACCTGGTTTAATTTAGCTGATTGTTTGGCTTGATAAACATTGATAATTCAACTTGATTAACCTTGATGATTCAACTTGATTAACTTTGATGATTCAACTTGATTAACATTGATGATTTAACTTGATTAAGTCCCTTAAGCAAAAAAACATTAAAATAATGGAAAAATTTAGCTAATATTAATGGTTTAACTTGATTAAGTCACTTAGGCAAGCAAACATCAAAATAATAGAAAAGTCCACAAATATAGAAATTTATTGATCAGAAAGTTTTTGTTCTTTTTATTAAAAAAATTTTTTAATATATTTTTTATTATTATTTTATAGTGTTTTTAATATTTAATTAAAAGGTAGACACAGTGTGTGACGTTATATAGTAAAAAATACAAATCTGTGGAAAATCATTGTAAAGTTTGTGATTACCTCAGATAAATCATTGTAAAGTTTGTGATTAAGATAAATATTTATGCTTATGACTGTTATGACTTATATATATATAAGGAAACTTTGTTTTAACTGTCTTCAGATAAAACGTTATACATATGATATTTTTTTTTATATTAAGATATTTATGCTTATATTTAAGATGGTTTTTCAAAATACTTTTTGAAAGTTGAATTTCTTGAAATTAATTAAAATTTTAATTTATTTAAGTTTTGGTTCTACAGTTTAAAAAATGTCATCAGTGTTTCTTGGCCAGGTTGTTGGTACAAAGATGCTAAAAACAGTCAAGGTTTGTGTAACAAGTCTCAAACTTCATCCTGTGATTTTACAGGTATGTCTTGTGTTACCCTAAATGCAGTGTAGGGGGCTTAAAAAACAACTATGCAGATAATTTTGTGTGTTCAAAATCCTTGAACGTTTAATGCTCCTTAATTTTTTTAAAAATATATATATATATATACTACCATGCAAAAGTCTTCGGTCGGACTCAATATTGTAGCAAAAATTTTCATGTGAACGTCTCAAATATGTGTAAAGACAAATAGACAAATAAAATTGTTTTAATTTGATTAATTTTTTATTTAAATACTAGGTAGTAACAATATTTATAATAAAAATTTTTATATTTATAATAAAAGATTTTTTTATATTTATAATAAATTTTTTTTTGTGTAATTACTCACGGCTGTTTCAAACCGAGCTTAACGGCTTCTTGTTATTTTTTGAAAATATTGACTAAAAGGGTGTTACTAAAACTTTTATAACTTTTAAAATAATCAAGATAATTTTGTTTTGTAAAAAGAATAATAACACCAATAAAATGTTTCATCTTATGACATTTAATGCATTAGTAAAAAAATTTCTTTAAGTTTAAAAAAAACGCAACAAATGATGACGTTGGCTGAATTCAAGTAATTTAATGTTACTTTTTATCAAAAAAAAATCAGAAAAATTTATTTCTGATAGTTAATCTTAAATATACCCATTGTTTGACTATTATAAAAACAAAAAAACCTTACTTAATTGTTTAAGGATAGCTAAAACAGACTTTAATGAGGTCTGAAAGCAAACCACACTTTTCGCAAAGTTATGAAAAATGTAGTTAAAAGGGGGATTAGCTGTTAAAAGAGTACATTTTTAAACCTAGAAGTTCTTGTTTTAGAAACTTATTATCCTAAGCCAGTAAGTTCATTGCATTGCAATAAAAAGCCAGATTTCGATTTTGGAATATTTAGTCAAAACATTTAAAGCTAAAGCATTTATTTTTTTCTGTGCATACAGTTCTAATAATATGGTGTTAAGTTGTTAATAAATAAAGACTCACCAAGTCTAATAAAATAATTCATGACCAAATTTGAGTTTCAGTTTTTGAATTAACCTCGCTTTTGGTAGTAGAATTATTTTATAGCACTTGAATCTATAGTCTCTTCTCTCAGTAAATAAAGTGTTTGAATATACAAATAGCTAATTGAAATCTTTTGAAAATTTGTTTTTATTCCCATTAAAAACTGTTTTATAATCAGTTGGTTTACTGATAGGTTCTTTAAGAAGTAAACTATCTTTGTACATACAATTGATATCAGATTCATACTCATGCTAAACCAGAAAAACAATTGCTCCACTCAAAATTTTGAGAACGTTTATAAATTCTTAATTTATTGAACTAAATTTTTACACCAACTTGATATGAGATTTATATTCCATTCTTTAACCAGCGAGGAGGTATGTAAAGCAGAGGTACTGCAAAGGTAGAACTAACTTCTGGTGATAAACATCGAATGGATATGTAATATATCTATAAAAAAATGTTACATATAATGAAGAACAATACATCTTTTAAATTAAATACACAAACATAACAGATCATACCCAACCAACATACTAGTTGCTCTGATCACAAGTTAATATATAAAAGCTAGATTTTTACATACATTTGATGCAAGACTAGTATTCCATTCTTTAACCTGAGCGAAGGTATTGCATAGGTATAAATAACTTCTGAAGCTAGGAACAGAATGGGCACCTACCTAATATATAAAATCAATATATTAAAAAATAATATTTTAAACTAACATCACACAGATATTAGAACAAAATAAAATTATCTTATATACAAATTAAAGATCTCATATAATTTATCTTACTTTTTAATTTTTTTTTGTTGTTGTTGTTTTTAATTTTTTAAATATTTTAACTAAATTTGATGACCACAAACAAGACAAAGACCTTGTCTATAAAATGAATTTTCGCCACGCTCAGAACACACAACACACTTTCTCACCTTAGAGGCTTGAAGCTTCCTATCAGCTTTGCTGTGCAATTCAAAGCGTTTTAAAACAAGATGCAGCTTTTGCTCCTGATTTCTTACTGAATGCAACTGTCTTAATTCCTTATTTACGCTATTATGCAAACACTCTCCCTCCTCTTCACTCAGCAACCCAATAGTTTTATGCAATTTTACAAATAGTGGCACATTAAAAATGAGTTCATGCATTTTTCGCGTGATACTTTCTTTTGGAAAGCAATCATGAAATTCGATAGCAAATAAATTTATATATTGATGAAGCTCAGTAATTTCGGCATCTGAAAGAAATTTTCGCTTAAATAGAATAGGTTGCAACTTATTAAAAACACTAAACACACGTACAAATCTATTTTTAATAGCTTCATCATCAATAACACTATAAAGTTTATAGTGGTTTCTTAAGACTATTTTGCAATGATTACCTACGAACACATTACCGTGGTATCGCTCAACCTTCATATCTTCAAGGGCCTTATTAAGAGACCTCTCATGAGTCCCCATGCTACTTTTGGATATTTTTTCTAGGTCTTCACACTCCACCTGCAATTTAATATATTCAGTGTCTAAAACTTCGCGTTGTGCACGTATAAAATAAATTTTTTCAGAAATATAAAGGTCAAGACATTCTATATCTTCACCCTGACATGCTAAACACTCATACTTCTCAATGTCACACAATACACTCTTTTCCGAATCACCAATAATTTCACAAAATTGATGAAACAATTTTTGGCACGTACCACACTGCACCCAATCAATGTTACAATCGTATTTTGTAATTAAACACCTAATACTATCACACATTTCTTGCTGTTTAAAGGTTATTTTTTTATTGGAGGAGTTTAGAGATAATTCAGAAATATTTTTATTAAAAGCTAACCAACGCGCCTGTAGATTTGCAACGTCTACAAATTGATTTCCTAATAAACGTAAAGCTTCTGCTGTTTTAGAACATTCAACGCTTTTAGCAGCCCACAATTCATTCGTTCTCACATTCTCATTATGCGACAAAGACGAAACAGCTTGACAATCTAAAGTCTCACACTCCTTCAACAATAACTTATACAGTTTTAACACAACTCCTAACATAATATGCAAAACAGGTGGCACTACATTATCTAAAGTTATTATGGGGAAAATCACAGGAGCAATAATTGAATTATGAAACTTACCTAAAGTTCTTAGGTTTCCATCTTGTCTATTTTCACACAAGTTCTCATTGTAAGCACTTTCCAGAGATTGTATTGTCCTCCTTAAGATGTTACAATTAGCAGGTGTGTGAGGCATAGAAGCATGGTTTCTTAGAGAATTCAACTTAACTAGGTCTGTAGAACTAGGAAAGCTAGCAGCTGAACCCTGGTGTCCCAGAACATCATCGATAAAATGAAAATCTCCACCTAAGAACAACCTGACTATTTTGCCTTTTAGCTTAAAATCTGACGACTGAATTCTTTTAATGTCGTTGGCAACACAACAAAATACTGACTTTTCACAAGACATAGAATCACAAAACAACATAGACAAATCACTTTCTAAATCTGAACAAGCTAATAATCGAAGGAATATAAAAGCAAGTTTAGATCGTTTAGCTGCAGCATGCCTACCTAACTTAGAATAAGGTTTACCATTTCCTAACTTAATGTAAGTATATTTTTTACTAACTATTGGCTTTTTAACTGATATATTCTGTGGATTACTTAATTTAAACCCACAAAATAATTCAGAGGAACCAATGTTGTCGTAGTCTAAATAAGAATCAACCACAACTAAATCCTTATTGCAACTAGCAAAACATTTGCAAATTTGGCAACTGTTCTGGCTTAAATCACTAATTTTTGCAATTCTTTTTTCAATAATAATTTTTTTTAGCAATCTTACATTTTTGGCACGAGCAGATGCAAATTTACGCTGTGCTGTTTTAATTTTTTTTTTTTTTTTAAAGTTGGAACTGCTCCTCCTGTTTTAGCCTAATACTCATAGTCTCTAATTGAGAACTTAATGAGTTACAATGTGTGTTGAGAGCCCTATTTTTAGAATTTAAATCTGTAATTTCAGCTTCCAACTTAAATACTTGCATTTTAAATTTTTCTATTTGCTCCATATTTGTTTTATTTTCAGAAGTTAATTGATCAATTTGATTCAGTAGCTCCTGACTGTTATTTAAAGTGAAAAAGTCATCTGCATCTGCTGATTTTTTTTTTTTTGGGTGGAGCTTGCGACAGTTGCATTTTAAAAAATTCTTCGTTTTTTATAGCTTTAAAATTTTTTTTATATTTCTTTTTTTGTCGTGTTAACTTTAGGCACATTTTATCAAACTCGTCATTACTAGGCATATCAAAATCAATTGGCAAAAGAAAACTCATAAAACTAAATAAATCACTTCTTATTTTAAAGACTGTCATTAAAATGGAAATGACATTGTTACTGATCTTATCTGTCCTAATTAATGGCTTAACAAAAGGAAAGTTACACCTATCTTCCCAACCATTTTTCCATCCAATATGTTGTTTTAGAATTTCCCTCTCAGTTGAATACATAGTTATCAAAATAATATTGACTTATTAATCAATATAATAAAAACAAATAAAATAATATTAATTAACAAATATATGCACAAGATAAAAGTGGATTTAACAACTTATCTGATATTAGTTTGATAATCCAAAGAGAAAAATTCCGCGTAACTTTGTTTACTTTATACTTCAAAAATTGACTCGCCGAAACAGTTGTTTGGAGAATATTCGTTAATAAATAGTTTGGGACGTAACGCATAAAGGTTACGTCATCGCAAAAAAAACGTCAACACAAATGTACGCCTAAAACTAACAAGATTAGTTGTAAAACATGACATTTTTGAAAACATATTTCATAACATAGCTGAAGGCAAGTAAAATAATTTTTTTATTTTCATTTGCATAAAAGGTTGAAATTTCATTAACTTACGTCATCTATCAAAAAATTTATGTTTTGCAATTAAAAACGATTAATTAAAAAATATAAATGCTTTAAAAACAGTCTTTTTGTAAAAAAATCTCTAGAATGACGCAGGAATCTGATAGAATGGGCATTTAGGGTTAAGCATTCCAAATTTCAACTATCAAGCACTGAGCTATGTTATGAAATCTTAGTTGGCCCAACTCATGTTTTGCGGAAAATATGCGAAAATTAGAAAAGTGGTTCTAAATTATTATAAATATTTTGGCAATATTTATTTTTATACCAATTAATGTAAATATTTATTTAACAAGGAAAGATAGATCTTTTATATTTTTTTAAATGCAAGATGAAAGCATTTATATAAAAAAGTTACTATTAATTTAAAGTTTGTGAATTTTTATACTTTTTATGCGGAAATACTTTTTTTTTTGATAAACTCATGACGTCACGCTCGTTTTTATATTGAGTGAAACAGCCGTGTACTGAATATAAATCTTAATTTTCCGCGCAGTAATATTTAGTTTGGAGAACTTTCTAAGTCTGTTGTGGAAAGTTTTACTTATGTATGAAAGCAAAAGTTCACTCAGTTTATTATAATAATAGTTTTGAGTTTGATGTAGTGAGTTTGTCCGTATTGAGTTGGTATTATATTTCATGTTTAGCATTAAACATTTTCTCAAGTCAGTTTTTGAGTATATTGCATTGTTTAGAATAATAATATTTATTTAAAATACAAATTTTAATACTGAATATATATTGTAGGCGGGTTTTTTTATATGTAATTACCGAATATAATTTTTAATTTTGTATGCATACTAACAAATTGGTATTGAATATTTTTTTTAGCAAGACTTGGGTGAATTTAAGTCAAAATATGGAAACAAGAACAGAATATTCAATTAAGCTATGTGCGAAAACTCAGATAATATTGGTAAAGAATTTGTCTTTCAACAAGACAATGACCCTAAACACACTTCTAAATTATGTACAAATTATTTAAATACAAAAGAAAAGCAAAAAGTGCTTAAAGTCATGACTTGGCCTCCACAATCATCTGATATAAACTCTATTGAGAAACTATGGGGTGAGCTTGACAGAAGGGTACTCATAATGATCTCAACTAAAATAAATAGTCTCTGGAAATGTCTCTTAGATGCCTAGAAAAACATAAATTTTAAAACATTAAATAAGTTACTCTCTTGAATGTCAAGTTTCTGTAAGGCTGTCATCCGCGCTAAAGGTGGTATTGATGAGAGTAAAATCTTGCTAAGTTTTTAAATTAAAATATTGTTGTGAATCAGTATTATTTGTTTTTTGAGATGATTCACACATTGACTAAAGACTTTTACACGCTAGTGTATATATATATATATATATATATATATATATATATATATATATATATATATATATATATATATATATATATATATATATATATATATATATATATATATATGTTTATATATACATATATATATATACATATATATATACATATATATATATATATACATATATATATATATATATATATATATATATATATATATATATATATATATATATATATATATATATATATATATATATATATATATATATATATATATATATTAAATATATGAATTTATCAAATGAAATCTCTAATTAAACTCTTTATTTTAAAAAGTCTATTATATGATAATATGACTATGAAGAAATGATATGTATATGATATAAATAAAAATGATAAAAATGATATAAATAAATGATATAAATAAAAAATGATATAAATGATATAAAAAAGTAAGATGACTATGAAAAAGTAATGCTGAAAAAATTCAAAGTGAGGAAGCGACAAAACAAGTTTATAAAAATCGAATTGATTTGTTCTTTTTAAGTAAATTTTAGCAGAAAAAGTCGTTAACTTTTAAGAACTTTCAAATAAATAGTTTAAAGTGAAAGAGCAACAAAACAATTTTTATTTAAATTTATTTGTTCTTTAAAAGTAAATTTTAATTAATGACTTAAACCTTTCACTTTTATTATTAAATATTAATCGGTAATGTTTTTGTAATTATTATTTACAGAAAATATATGATTTTAAATTTTATCTATATCATTTATAATAGAATTAAGTAACAGCTAAAAATGCAACGCCACTCCCCACGTACGTCGAGGTATTTTATTTAAAAATTTATTTCTTTATTTTTCTCTAAGCATAATAACTAAACATAATAAATAAAAGTAAACTAATATTTTAATTTTTAAAATATTTAACGCTCAAACAATATCATTTTGTTCTAATAAATTATAGAAAAAAATAAAACAAACTTTAACACCGAGACTTGCAAAGTGTTAACGCATTATTAGGTTAGTTTCCCTGCAAAGCGGCCTTGTTTGTCAAGTTCAAATATATATATATATAATGGGTGGCAACTTGAAAATGGGATAATGTTTAAAGAGATGTTATTCCCTCAAAAAAATAAAAAGATTTGATTAGAGCATCACATTCTTCATTGTAAAAAGTTTTATTGATCTTCAATTTCAGAAATTTTTGATTGGGCGCAATTCAGGAACATTTGCGACATTATCTTCTTTTTGGACAAAACATTTTTGGCCTCATGTAGGAAATGGTGGATTTTGAATAATTCGCTGATGCTAGGTCAGGCCAAAATATATTGACATTACCTGAATGATGCTCTGCAATAAACAGCATTAATATTTTTTTGAATATAATCGCTCAAGTAGACCTGCTGGTTGCCATGCTGCTTGGGAGGAAGAAAGGGTTTGGATTGCCATGTGCTGAAAAACAAATACAGATGAGCAGTTTCTTTTGTATGTTTTTGAATGTCGGATATATTGATGACTGCATTGAAATTGTTGAGCTACTTGGCATTGCAAAATGATGCCTTTATGGCCGAATATCACTTTTGGTCTCTTTATATTGGTTTTGGTCATTATTACCAGTTTTTTACCACTACCCTTGACTCTTTGGTGGCCAGATTCATTTTCACCTAAATTAAAGTCGGTAATCTGATAATACTTCTCTACATTTTCTTAGCTACAAAGTGTTTAACAGTGGCTTAACAATAGTTTTATTTCTGATCTATTAGCTAGATAAAACTTTTACACATGTTTTCTCGTCTTGTATTTGCTAATTCATTTGGTTTCATTTTTGAAAATGATTTCTAAAGCAAATACAGATAAATGATCAGCATGAAATTTGTTACAGAATGGGCAGTTGACATTTACATAAAAAATTTAATAAGACATATTTTTTGTCTGCTAAACTTTGTCCATTTTCAACTTGCCATCCGCTTTTGAAGTTTTGCTTCATTTGAGACTAAATGATATCTTTTTTAAAATTAGGGATCTAATAATAAATATTTAATAAATATTTCAGGGTTTTAAACAACCCCCTTATCCTCCCCCCAAAAAAGAAAAAAATATTTTTTGTATGCTAATTATTATAATTCAGTTTCAAATAGTTATGTTGAAAGGTATGAAAAATTTACACAAAATTTTTCACAGTTTCCATGATTAAAAGTGTTTAAAATATATTAGTAAAGTGTATCTTAACTTGCAAGAGACTTTATTCAGCATTAAACATCACTGATACAGTAGGGTTATGACATTTTCCCATGGATAGACCACTATCTATAAAATCTAAAAAATGAGGCTATCTTATTTTTTAATATATTGTTATATTTAATATTGTTGATATATTTTCTTTTAGTACTGGAATACAAAAAAAGTTTACTTAGCTCACGATGAGCACAGCCTGTGCAAAGAGGGTGATATGGTGTTAATTAAAGAAACTCGTAAACTAAGCAAAAAGAAAAGGTACACAATTCTAGACATTGTAGAGAGAATGCCTCAGACTCAAATGGAATCTTCTACTCAAGTTGGTCAAAAGGTTTTACAACCATAGTTTTCTTAAGATAAAACTAATGAATATCCATCCTGAAGATTTTTTGATATCCATCATGAAGATTTTTTGATATCCATCCTGAAGATTTTTTTTACTGAACTGAAAATAATAAATTAAATAGTATTTTAATTTACACCATGTTTATTTTTTTTATTAATTAAAAGTGTTTAAAATATATTAGTAAAGTAAATCTTAACTTGGAAGAGACTTTATTCAGCATTAAACATCACTGATACAGTAGGGTTATGACATTTTTTGAATCTGTTGTGGCCATACTTTTATCACCTGAGAATTGTTGAGTAATTGATAAAAAACTGGTTTATTGGTTGTTTAGTTGCAAAAATATTCCACCCCCTCCCCCAATTTTTTTTTCATGTATTACATGAGGACATGTAAAGCTTATTTTCCATACATTTATAAACAGCCACAAAAATAAATTTAAAAAAATGTAAATTATATTTAGTATTTAAAAACTACATATCACTTAAGTGGATCAATAAAAGTAATTATTTTCTCCAAGTTAGTTAAATGTTTCACAGGTCATTGATTCCAATAAATTGTGTAATAAAGAAATCTTTTTTGGTTCTTGAAGTAACAAAAAGCTTCACATAGCTCATAAAGGAATTTAAAGTCATCGCACCATCCTAGGTTTATGTAATAATTAGACACAGCTTCATGTTTATAGTTTTTTTGAAGATTTTTATAATTTTCTCTTAAATCTTTTACAAATTTATAATCACAACCAAGAGTTATTAATTTATAATTTACAAAATGATCCAAAACATGTTTTAAAATGAGATTCAGTATATGATGCTGACATCTTAAATATTATAGTTTGGTAATGCCTCTGGATTCTATTTCATTTTGTATTATATTATTCTCATTTTGAAGTGTCACAACTTGGTATTCAGTCTTGTTTATTTTCTTTCTATCAAAATGCAGGCAGAATTGTTCTTCTTTTACTATTTAAGTAATAATTTTCTTTTTTCTTTCCCCTTGCCTTATAACTGATCTCCATATTCCTGTCTGACTTGAAGTTTCTATTTCAAGACCTTTTTTATATAACTTTTTACAGATTCTAGATGATTTATTTGTATTTAAAGATTCAGTTATCACAAAATAAGATGCTAATTTGGTTCTATTGTATACTCTCTTTATTTTTTTATTTTCACCGGTTTGTAATTGTCTTGTGAATCTAAATATGAACCACTTTCTTCTGATGCAGTTGACTGTTAACTGGAAAATGACATGAATGAACAACAAATTTAAAAGAAAACCAAACTTGAAAAATAAACAATCAATTTACAATGTTTCTTCATTTGGTATATTTTTAGTTTAAAAAATTTGGATCTTAAAAAAAACCACCTTGCCATACTTTTTAAGTATTTCTCTAAGTTTCATTAGTATTTCTCTAAATTTTGTTAGTATTTCTCTAAGTTTTGTATTTCTGCTTGAGTGATTGAGTGTTATTATTTTATCATCCCATCACATATCCTGACTGCTTTATAACTTCATAACTTTTCATACTTCACATGGTGAGCATTTCATCAGGTTGGTGTTATGATTTAACAGTTGGCAATTCTCTAACTCATTCTTTAACTTTCACTTAAAAAATGTACTGAAAGTCCCTGCAGCTTTAATTATGATGTCATCAATGATATTTCATATCACATTGATATGATATCTGTGTGTTTATGTTTATAGTATAAGTAAAAGTAAATATAACTTGTTAAGTTGTATTCAGTATTTAAAGGTTTGACTTTTTTTTTTTGTAACTAATTTGTATAAACAATTTTTTTTCTGACCAGAACAAGTTTTAAGTAATGGTTTGGTAGTTAACTAATATTTCAATTTTGATCAGCTGAAAACTGTCGAATATTTATTTGACTTTTTTTGTTTTTATTTGATATTTTGAGTTGACATTTGACATTAATAATTGATTATTTTTTTTGAAATTTTAATAAATTTAAATACATAAATAGAACTCTAAATACGATGTTATACAAATTTCTGCCGTTATAACTATATAAAAGTATGATACGTTAATAACTGATTGAGTTAAAACCTAACCTAATTTTTTAATAACGCATTGCTCCTTTTAACTGTTTTGAAAGTAAAAAGTTTTAAACATTCAGAAGTATTTGTTAAAATTTTCAAACAAGAGCTACTAATGATTTCTTTATAAAAAGTTATTTGAAAAGTTTGAATGTTATACAAAAGTTTTTTTCATATATAAATTTTAAAATTTCAACTTTATTGTAGTTGTTATAATATGGTAGTTTTATGTTTTAAAAGTTGACAACTTTAAGAGTTAAGCTACATTGTTTTAGTTTAATGTTTATTTTTATTAATTCTTATAATATTTTGAATAAATCTTTTTTCAGCACTAAATTAGCTCCATTGTCAAATTTTAGACAAAATTTTTTGAATCAAAACCTAAAATAAGGTGTTACTTACCTTTAGCAGTTTTCTTTAGCTTTTAGCTTTTTTTTAGTATTTATTAAGATATTTTTTATAATAGAATAAAAATATATAAATCATTTGTCCTTACTTTTTATTACATTGTAGAATCGTTGATCATAGTAATCATTTATCATAATCATAGAATATTTAAATTGTTTTTACTTTTATTCTTTTTATATTTATTAAATTTACATTGATGCATTGCCAGTTTTTTATAAATAAGTTGCCAATTTAAAGAAAAAAAGTAGTTGTGCAATGTGTTTGCACATTTTTGTAAATGGGACACTTTTTAAAAGTAAATATTAACATATTCTTATTTTCAAAGTTATTATATGCTTTTAAAGTTAAAATTAACGTTTTTACTTATTTTTGAGGTTGTTTAACCATTTTAATGATAACATTAACATTTAATTACTCATTTTTAAGGGTGTTCTACATTATTATGTTTACAAAAATTTTCAAGCTTTTACACATTAACGTGTCAAATGTTTTAAATGTTTTTCTATTTATTTTGAAATGCGTCAAATGTTTCAAATTATTCTTTTAAACATGTCTAATTTCTCAAATGTTTCTTTGTTTATTTTAAATGTGTCAAATGTTTTAAATGTTTTTATTTTATTTTAAGAATATAACTAGTTAAATTTTTTTAATACAAATAAAATATTAAACACAAATATCAATAACAGTTAAACAAAGAAGCAGTTTAACACCATGTTTAGTAAAAATACTTTTGATAACCTCCGTCTCATGCAGCGGATCCAATCAGCTCAAGTGGAACTCAGTTCAGGGTGAGTATTTTCAAAAAATATATTTTTTTGATGTTTGTTTTTAATTATGTAAATAATGAATACATAAAAGTTTTATACAAGAAGTCTGTTTAATTTACTTACCTATAATAAACCATTTTTAGATGGAAAAATCTAACAGAAAAAGCAAAGAAAGAAGTAAAGGTTGCAAACAAAATTGCCAGGTAAATGTAAAACATTTTTTTGTACTAAAAGTGTTGCATTTCATAACAATTTAATTTTGTAATTTGCTTATATATTTATATATTTGCTAATTTTGTAATTTGCTTATAGTATGTTTATTGCTTATAATATTATGTATAATTTATTTAATTTATAATTTTTAGGTAAATTCATTTACAAATCAATTAAATTTCTCACCTTACTTTTGTTAACCTAACCTTAAAATTAATCATTTGACCGGGGTCAAAAAGATCTTGAGACTAATATACATTCAATCATCATTGAAATTTGTTGTAACAAAATTTCTTAGTAGTATAAACCTAGATTTATAGACCACTACTAAGAAATTTAAACTAATGGTCTGTAAATATAGGTTTGAACCCTTATGATATGTATTTTTCCATAAGTGACCAAAGTTATATTATTTAAAAATTTCATAATTTTTTTTTTTAAAAGCAGTAAAATAAATGAATTTTTTGGGGCAATTATTTTGCTAATTCTTAATTATATCAATACTTTGCTTATTTTGAGTTTCCATGTTAAGCATGATTTAAAAGATGTTATTTTGCAAGTAGATAATTTTAATAAATTTTAAAGAAATAAAATTTTAAAAAGAGTTTGTAATATTGCAGGATGAAGGTGACCAAACAAAAGTTGTATCATGTTATTAAAAAAAATGTAGTGTAAACCTATATATACATAAAAAAAAGAAGTTTAAAGAACAAAAAAAAAAAGAATTTTCTTTTACAGGACCTCAAGATTCTTACTAAGTAAGGGCCAACCATACCTAGTTAATATCTAATGAGTTAATAATACAAGATTTTAATGTTACATATGTTATAAGGTATTAAGAAAATAAATAGGTTATATAGGTTAAAAATAAGCTAGATCAACTTTGCCGAAAGCTAGACTAACTTTGCTATATAGCTAGGTTTATATATAGTAAAAGTAAAAAATATATAATACATAATTGACTGTTAACAAATTGTCATTTTTATAAAATTAATTAGTAATTTCTATCAAAATATTATTTTTATAGAAATAATATTTTGATAGAAATTACTAATTAATTTTATATATTATTACAAATAGTAATGATTGCATTACTATTTGTAAACAACCAAGTTAAAACAGGTATTTTAAGGTGTTTTAAATTTGCCATATTGTGCATGGGTGATGTCGCTGTTCATACTTTTAGTGTGGATTGTTGAGACCACATTAGGAGCTCTTTGTTACGGCTTAGGGTTTATTAACAGTAATGAGGCAATTATTAAATAGTGTACTGAGAACTACATGTGCTTTGAGTCAAATTCTTTAACCAATTTAAAAATGACTAAAGTATTAAAAACAAAACAAAAAAAACAAAAAAAATCATTTTCATCATCAAGTTCATTAAATCTATCATTCACTGATAATCATGGTCTTTAAAGTAATCTTTCTTCTGTTGAGTCTAATCTCTTGCAAAATTCATCAAAACTTCTTGCTTTTTGTGAGACTAATTTAAGTTCAGCTATCTCATCTTGTGATCTTAGTTTAATGGTTATCTTCTTTTAATTGGTAAAAACTCCAATAGTCGTATGCTTGGCCTGGGCATTTACATTTGTAAAAATTCACCCATTTGTTGGGAAACTAGTTTTGAATCCACAGACTATTCTTTTATATGGGCTCATTTAGTACCGCTTCACTCAACCTATTTTAAAACTCTGGAGAGCGATCTGACTCATTTATCTACCGTTCGATTAGTCTTCTAACAATCATAAGGAGTCTTTAATTAACAAACACTTAATTTCTCATCTTAAATCTAATAGTTTACTTTCTAATCATCAAAATAGATTTCGATCTTCTCATTCTAGTGCTGATTTGGTAACAGTAATAACTGATAGGTTTATCATGCATTAGAATAGATGTGAAGAGGTTAAGGCTATTGCTCTCAACATTTCTAAAGTTTTTGATCAAGTTTGGCATACTGGTCTTTTCTATAAGCTCCCTTTTTACGATGTATCAAGTAACTTCTTTAAGATTATTGAATCCTTCCTCACTTATAGTAGTATAAAAGTTGTCCTCAATGGACAGCACTCCTCTTATCCTGTAACTTCAGGGGTTCCTCAAGGTTCAACTCTTGGCCCTATACTCTTTTTAATTTGCATAAGCGATCTTCCAGATATTCTCACTATTATCTAAGGTTGCATTGTTCGCTGATAAGAAGCCAACACTCTCTGGTTGCTTGGAGGGGGCATTTGAGCTTAAAAAAGACCTCACTTCTGCTACAGGTTCGCAGTGGCTGGTGAACTTTAATTTAGATAAATCTCTTTTATAGACAAGGTGCAAAAATGCATTGTAAACATAGTTGGATCTGCTCTTGCACCCAACCTTCAACTATTCTCTTATCATCTTCACCTATTGTCACATGTTACTTCCAACTTTAATAGTGGTTGCTTGCAGCTTTATGGAAGTGAATATGTTTATTATATATAAATATATATGTGTGTATATATATATATATATATATATATATATATATATATATATATATATATATATATATATATATATCATATATATACATATATATATATATATATATATATATATATATATATATATATATATATATATATATATATATATATATATATATATATATATATATATATATATATATATATATATATATATATATATATATATATATATATATATATATATATATATATATATATATATATATATATATATATATATATATATAGCATATTTATATGCGCAATTGCTCACTTTTTTTGCTAGCCTAAATTAAGTGAGCGTTTTTAGAAAACGATGAGGGAAAACAAGGAATAATGAATGAAAAGGTTGCTGACCCCTACCAAACCCTCAGTCGATGTAGCAGCACTCCACTGCGAGTCAGGCTATTTGTCAGTCGATGTATGTACTGAAGCCCCCGGCAGCAGGCCTTTATATATATATATAAATATATATATATATATATATATATATATATATATATATATATATATATATATATATATATATATATATATATATATATATATATATATATATATATAGACCTTTGCAACGTTGTCAGAAAGTTTTTTCATATTTTGTTGACATAAAAAGTTACTTTAACTGATATTAATAAAAACTTAACTGATATTAATTAAAATGTCTTTTATTAAACTGTGGTGTATGTTAGGGATCATTATCCTGTTAAAATATATATTACCTTGGTTAGAAAAAAATTCTTATATATATTTGTTATAACTGGTTAACTAAAACAACCCAAACATTATTGTTTTTGTTATGTTTTTTGTTATATTATGTTGGTTGCTTGTGTGTTTAGGGCTTGAATTTTTTCCCCAATACATTTCCAACAGTGAGATCGACCATATTAAAATTAGACATGAGTAGATTCATTCCTTCAAATAACTTTGTTAACATTTTCATAGACCATTGTTTATATATTCAATCTGTGTGCTCAATACACTAATCATGTAATCTTTTTCTGCAATGGATTTCATTAATAATAGGGCATTTTTTGCTTTCCAGATAAAAAATTCACCAGATGTTTTTTATTTGACAAGATAACCACTTTGAAATATTGGTAAAATTTGAATCTAGTTTGGTCTCAAAACATGTAATTTTATGAATTTTTTTGATTTAAGAATCTACTAATAATTTAGTCATTTAAAACATTTTAGCTGTTTTCTAAAATATTAAATGTGGCCATTTTAATGATTTTTTTTTTTAATTTATAAATGTATATAAATATCAGTATAATCAAAGAATGATATACTAAAGTTATTTTTATCTATGTTTATCGATTTTTTGGATTAAAATTTTTTACATTTGTTGCTCTTGTAAAAGATTTCTTATTGAAAATAAATATTTTTTTGCTCAATCTTGTATGAGCTCAAGTTGTTTTTTAACAAAAGATTTGTTTGAAATTTTTTACTTTTTAAAATTTCCTAATTAAATTGACAGCATTGCATGTATGGCTTTCGTAATCACTAGCTGTCCCTCCAGGCAATTATTCCAAAGCAATCACTTGACATCTTCAGAAGTTAAGCATATGCTGTTATATGAATACCTTACTGTGTAGTAAGGCATCAAAGCCAAGAGTTAAATTTTTGTTTCTCATACAAAATTCTGCAGCTTGTAATTCTGATTTACAGCCAAGCTCACGTGCCATTTGCTCAACAGTATTATGATGGGGAATAACAGTAAAAGCAACACCCATATATTTTCCAATTTTTTAAATTCAGAATACTATTTGTTGGAACATTATGCTACAGAATGTTATAAATAATCATTCTCATATGTAAAGGACAAGTCATCTAACAATAGATTAAAATATAAATTAATGACCTTTTCTATCTTTAACATATCTTTTTCCATGTTAGCATTAATTATTATATTTGCAGCAATATCAGCATTGTATTTGTCTTTTATTTCCTGTAATCATTTTTGTCTTTAATTTTTAAAGCTATTTTTCTATTCCTAAAGTTGGAAATAATCTTATCATAATAATATGTTTGAAATTTTTTATTTCCCTTTAACTTCTATCATTAGAGCTTGTATAATTTTTCCTTGATGCTTTAAAGACGTTTGGGATACATTGAATTTGTTTTTCATTAAGAGATTAATTTTTATACATTTAGAGTAATAAAACATATTTATAAACTCAAATATTCTTTTTTAAACATTTGATGTTATAAAAACATTGTTTTATACAATTGAAATTTTTTATTTTAAATGAATTTTTTAAATGTTTTGTTAAGAAAGTTTAAAAACTGTCATATATTTAGAGTAACAGAGTTTATTAATAAACTCCGACATCTTTAAAATCCTAATGGTTTTTAAAGATGTTAAAGTTTATTGATATAAGTTCAAAAAAGTTGTGTGAAAACTTGTGGAAAAATTTTTATAATTATACAAATGATGACAAGAAGTGACAAGATCAAAAATTTCAAGAAGAAATCCCTAAAAGTTAAGTTGTAATTTT